TTTATTTATTTATTTATTTATTTATTTAATCAGGACAGTGCACATTAATGAACAATCTCATACAGATTGTAAATGAGCCAGATTCTAGCATAGTTGCTAATTTATATCTGTCGTCCTGAGGCAGGAAGACAAAACAACACAAAATCACAAAATACAAAATCAGTCCAAACACACGTTCAGACAATGACATTACAAAATTAAAATTAATTCAAGTCAATTTCATTTATATATTGGCTGATTAGCCTGTTAACTCATTGACTGGCAGCCATTTTCAGAACAGAGTCCCATACTGCCAGAGTTTTTTGAGCATTTTGACTGATTTTTCTAGAGCCACAGAATAGTTTGTGCTATGACTATGTAAACACCGAACCACGAAATTCAACTAAAAAACTAAACTAACAGATCACTTTAAGACACTTTTTGTAGAAAAGATTTGCCTGCTTTGGGTCATGTATGTTTTCTGTTTGTTTTGTTCTTCCATTAGATAAATACATTTTCGCCAGCTAAAAATACAAGTTTTTCAATTATTGTATAAAAACTCATGTTTACTATTGACTCCACACTCTTTAACTCATTGACTGGCAGCCATTTTCAGAACAGCCAGAGTGTTTTGAGCATTTTGACTGATTTTTTAAGAGCCACAGAATAGTTTGTGCTATGACTATGTAAACACCGAACACACCAAAAGAAAGAGTAGACTCTCTTCTTTCATCAGGAAAAAAATGTGTTTCTACCTTATTCCGTTCTTCCTGGACTTGCGTCTCACCGGCGACATGTTCTCTCATAGAACCGTTCCCTTTTTCTTATTTGCCTACAGTCTATGCTCATCTCCCATCAAAAGTGGCACTGCCCCCTAGAGGCTCAATTTGTTACTACATACTCTGTCTAGAAGCCCATATTTACGGACAAGCTTTAGCAGATCGTCCCCCAGACACTCTAGATAAAAACATAAAAGACCTCTATAGACGTCTTTGGCAGCCAATGAGTTAACTGCTCATGACCATATACATGGTTTGGAGCACAAACAATAAATATAACAGAACAAAGTAACGCATATACATTAAAACTATGACATCATCGATATAATGGGAGGTCCCATTTCAAAAAGGCACCAAACTTAAAAATTCTTTTCTTTTTTCCAGACTGAAATAATGAAACCATTTTAAACACTGATGGCCTCTTCACATAATACTGTGGAAAATACTTCTCTCTGTAATGGCATATTTCTACATTTTTTCACTCAAACAGAACATGATACTCATCTCCAACACAGTTATCTGGACAGAGTTAACATAATCTTAACTTTCTCTCTAAACCTTTATACCGACCAGTGACTTTAGGGATTCTAGTCTTGTTTGTTCTAAGGTTACAGATATCCTGCCTATATCCAAGGTTTTCACATAACAAGTATTTTTCAAATTTACATTCTTGCTTAATTTCTGCGTAAATATCACAAGATGTCATTTGCCATAAAAGACGTCTATAGACGTCTTTGGCAGCCAATGAGTTAAAGGCTCATAGGTTGGTTGGTTCTTTGTGAATCCTGATAAATGAATTAAAAGATGTTCTCCTCTCGGCAGCTACACCTTCCAGGTGGTTCAGGGTAACACGGACATCTTCTGGAAGTTTCAAAGGTACAACCTTATTGTGGAGTACCACAGCCGGCCGGCCCTGGCCCCGCCCTTCATCATCATCAGCCACCTGTCCCAGCTCTTCCTCTGCCTGGTCAAACAAACCGACTCCAAACAGGAACACCTCGGTACGAATCATCTCCATGCCTTTCTGTTCACTGAACTCCACTGGTTACCTCTGGCTGCCTGTATCAAACCCAAGTCCCTGATGCTAGCCCACAAGTCCCTGATGCTAGCCCACAAGTCCCTGATGCTAGCCCACAAGTCCCTGATGCTAGCCCACAAGTCCCTGATGCTAGCCTACAAG